ATGTCATCATTTTTAAAGTATACATAAAGTAACATAACAGAAAAACTAAAAGCAGAAAAATAAAACCACTGTCTGAGGCTGTCTTCACACCTATGTGTTGCAGAAACTGTGGTGTGTTCCTGTGCCATTGGGGCAGAATTTTGAATGGCACCTTAACACACCATGTTAGCAAACCTCAATGCAGATGTGTTTCAGTACACCACAATGAAAAGATGTGAACCGTTTGTGCGTTGTGTATAAAAAATGGTTCATGTCTAGTTTGATGTGCATTGTGATGCTTTGGCAGTACTCAAATGAACAGGCCACCTTAATGCACCTCACATTAATGCATAATGTTTTACACAGTAATGTGCACACTATGATGTACCACATGTACAGGACAGATGTGAAGAGAGCCAACAAGAGAACTGTTCTGCATTCATGCTGGTTTATAGAATTGTATATTTGCCTTGTATATAACTCTGTATTCACTTTAAAAATAAGAGTAACTTGTAATTTTTAAGTATTTTTCTAGCCAGACATAAAAATATAACAACTAGTATGACTAGTACATAAATGGTTCACTTTAATGTATAGTGCTTTGAATAAGTACCAAGTACAGCAATTCTTGTTTTTCTGTAAGAATTAATTGCTACATCTTTCACTTGAGTGAAATTCAGTCTTTTATATATTCTTGCTTTTGTAAAGTTCTGTGAACAGCAAAAAGGGACGATTGTGCCTTGTGAACGTATTCTGTTACTGACAGTCTTGTGACAGCCAGGACGGGTACAATATGGCATTCAGTAGAGAAGTATATAGGCCATTAGAACACTTGTCCATTCCAACACACAATAATGGCTGGATGTTTTACCAACAGCAGCAGACCACATACTAAGGGAGATTTGACAGCACTTAATGCAAATATTTGGTTAAACTTTCACTGTTCACCCATATGCATTTTTTTAAACTATTCACTGGTGGCTAAAGAATCTGTTTTGTTCACACTCTCATAATAAAAACATTGACACCTGTACTTTCAGCAGACAAAAGAGCTGATTTATGAAAACCAGAAAAAGTTGAGGCTGGTCCTGTAATAGCTAATCAGCTTCATTGAAGCTGATATACTAAAGGAATAGTATGCATTCACATTTCACACAAATGTTTTAGCTTAGCTGTGTTCACTTTAGTCTAAGAAGTATGTGCAAGCTAAAATCTTGTTTTTTTTTCCACTTCACATGGCTGCTTATTCAAGTGTATAGCTGCAAACTATTGTATATACGAACCCTATTATATATATAAATATACACTTTAGTAACTGCCATTCTCAAGGCCTATTAGTTTAGTAAATCAACTCAAATGTTTTATTTTTGCAGTGTGAATTAAATAATTAAAATGACTATTTCTGTTGCAGCCCTTCTATTTTGTTAGTATTTAAGTCTTTATAAATCAGCCATCACAATGCTATATGGCAGGGGTGGACAATTGTGGCCCTCCAGCTGTTGGTGAACTACAAGTCCCATCATGCCTCTGCCTTTGGGAGTCATGCTTGTAACTGTCAGTTGCAATGCCTAATGGGACTTGTAGTTCTACAACAGCTGGAGGGCCACAGTTGCCCACCCCTGCTATATGGGGATCCACAATAAAAAAAACGATACCTCATACTCAGCTTAAACCTTGTGGGGAATTATTATATTAATCATACTTAAGGTCTCCTCATCAAGGGACTAGCAGGGACCTAACCTTCCCCTACTCTTTCCTACACAGAGTAATATCTTTTTATATAGGCACTGGCAGTGGTATCTCACTGAAGAAAGACTGTTACCACGTTAATTGAAAAAAGGATCTCTTGGTGGTGAATAATGTTGTACATTATGATATTAATTGATGAAAAATACCCAGAAAGCCTGGGAAGGCACACCTGCTGCAGTGATTATGAGGGGGTCCCACATTTCCATTTGGATATATTGTATATCGTGGAGGTGGCAACAAGAAATGCTACAACCCACAAACCTCAGCAGGAACACCCAAAACTCCCATTTGGGCAGGAAAACACTCAGGAATTACGTGTCAGGAAGAAAAACTTTGCTGGAGTACCCAAGATATAAAAAGTACAGTGGCAGACTCAGCCACCAGCTCTAAGCAAAATAATAAATACAGTGTGCTATTCCAACTAATCAGTGAGTGACATTCAATGCTATTAATATAGGATAGAACACTTTTTTCTACTTACAAACTAAAAAGTAAGGGAGTGAACAGATTCAAGTTTATTTCTTGTTTATTGTCTGTTACCCCACACATTAGATGTTTCTTAACTTTAAATTTTATAGTGCATCTTAGTATCAAAATATGGTAACTGTAAAATTCCACCATAAATGTTATGTTATAATGTGTGACGTGCTAGAGCTGTATGTCATCCTGGTTAGTAATTGTGTTACTGAAATGTTATCTGAAAAACTCTACCAATGCCTATATGCTAACCATGTTGTATTAAAACATAATTTTTTTAATGAAACAAGTCTACATATTAGAGTGTTTCAGTGGGGATAAGTATGGACTTTTTGTGTGGCCTGTCCTCCTCTGCAGTCTAGTGTCACATATGCTCTAAAAGAAGATCAAATATTAGGTTCCGTGAGGTATATAAGCCAAAAGGTATATAAGCTTTCAACACTTTGCTATGTATAGGCTATGCTCTCACCTAATATTATGTACAGAAGGGAGTAGGAGCAGGCATGTAGGGGTTGATGTACTGCAGAGTTTACCTTTACCCATTTCTGTTTTCATTTGAAAGGTTAGAATTAAAAGAAAAGCCCAACTATAGCCATTATTTTTAATAAAACGGGCAAACGTTAGTACTTCTGTCGGGTTTTAAATGCTATCTTGTTTCCATTGGGGAAATGCTTCCAGCTGGAAAGTAGGGCAAAAACAGCAGTAAAATCCTGAGAGTATAAATCTTTCTGTCTCTATTGAACAAAATGTTTAATGGTGTCTGTGTCACCATTGTGGGGGTTTCCAATCACTTCCTCTTCTTTCTGACACCTGTCAAATGCCCAGCATGTGGGAAGGCCTTCTTTTATGTGTGATATACCTCAAACAAATCTCCTAGAGACACTAATAGAAAGTTGTCATAGGTTCCCTTTCATACGCTAATAATACATTTCAGCTAGAGTTGATATTTTATCCCCAAGTGAATTTTTCTATACATTTCAAGGCTACCAAGTTCTGGGCCATAAATGAGCTTCTCTAACACTGTAAGGAAAGTAGGTAAATGCATTGATTGGTAATATTAGTAGTGGTGATACATCAGTTTTCCACTAGACAGGAATTTTCCTTTACAAGCCATTTCTATAACATTCTTCATTTACTAAATCTTGATTACAAATGTCTGTTAACCTAGCAAGCAGTTTACCATCAGTTTAGACTGATAAGATGACCACATTTTAAAATCCATTTAAAAGGTTTTAAGAAATAATTGTACAGAAATCTAAAACATAAGTAGGTTAACATAGGACACTGTGTAAGGATGTATATAAGGCAAGTCATACATGGAGCAAATTTCTTTCTTGCAACCACAGGTCTGTGTTGATGGGGGATTCCCTTCCACTGAGCCATTATATTCTCTCAGCGGAGAAGACAGTGATTATGCTAGCATTAATCATATGTAAAATCTAGCAGGCTGGTTGTACCCAAGTTGATCGATCGATCAACTTGGGTACATTCAGCCTGCCCATACATTGTTCGAATCTTGGCCGGTTCCTGCTGAATTTGCCGAGATTTAAACTGTCTGTGGCCGGCCTAATAGTAGTTGTGTTAGTTGGAATAATAAAAAATAATTTGGGTAAAAAAATATTGTAAAATTAATTACAGATTCTACACTCTCTTAATTTTGTTTTAAAGTTATTTTTATTTTGTACCTTTGAACCTAAACTTAGTAGTTTATATAATCAAGCTGTAACATGTATAGCAAGGGATTGGTTTTAGATATTATGATCTCTTTTGTGATTTGGGTACAATGTTTTAAAACAAGATGCTTCTTCAAGTAGTCCCTACAGAGTATGATAATTGCAAGTGACATGTCCAGTGTGAATATTGGAAACACTCTGGCCATTAAAATTACCCTCCATAAAAATAGAACTCTGCCTATATCAGGATAAGTGTAGAACGTGCTACAGTTCAGGCATTGCCTGGTACAAAGATGTCTGTATGTGGGAAGTCTCATCAGCTTCACATCTTGTCTAAGGAATTTGTATTTCATTACCTGGAAGCAATGCTCACAATGGGTCCCCATCACTTTCAGTACCTTCTTATGAGATGTAGTGTTAGTTGATGTCTTTTATCACTGTCATAGACTCTGTCATTGTTCTGTCATATCATAAATACAATCTGAATCTTTTTTTTACTTTGAGAAATCTGCCTTTGTGTATAATACCATTTTTGTGTGCTCAAGATTAAAATTCATCTTAATCAAGGCAATCATTTGTGAAATGTAGATGGGTGAAAATTTCATTTTAAAAGTATTTTCTTTTATTTTAAGGATGGCAGGTATAACTGTTGTGTGTTTGTTTTCTTTAACTAAGGATTAGTATGTCTAGCTGAAAAAAGCAGCCAAGTATCTGATTTAGTGCTGCCCTGAGTATCTGAGAAATAATGAATAAATGAATTACTCCAACGATACGCCTGTCTGGTATGAAAGGAATGTGATTTTGGTTTAATAGGCTGAAGACAAGCAAACTATTATTGAAGTCTTCATCTAGAGGCTGGTCATTTGTGCTTGTTCGTCTGCTTGTCACAATGAGGTCTAATAACTGAACTAAGTGGGGCACGTAGCAGTGACTAGCAGAATCTGTGCCTAGCAAGCATCAGAAATGTGTGTTGGTTCCAGCGTCAATCTATATTCTATAGTAAGCTACTACCATTTTACAACAGGCAATATTTTAGTTGTACAAATAAGCAAATGTAATCATGTTGAATACACTCCCCTCAGCTGCTTGCATCTTGACACCTTGTTGTATTACTTTAAACAGATATGTCCTCCCCAACTATGAAGAAGCCTGAAAAGCCATTGTTTAGCCCAACATCACCACAGGATTCTTCATCAAGACTGAGCACTTTTCCCCAGCATCATCATCCGGGGATTCCAGGAGTAGGACATAGTGGTAAGGGCAACAAATGTCAAATGCTATCATCTAGTCTAGCCTTCTCAAATTCTGCTGTATGTAAACACAAGGCACCCAAAAGTACAGTTTTGAAGCAGAAGCTGTTGTTGGTAATGATATGAGCTGTTAATTTTTTTGTGCAAAAAAAAGAAGAATGTAGTAGTGAACAACAGATTTGTTGTGCTGGATATTAGTAATAGTATTGTGCCACTTTCAGGCCTATGACCAGGTTTAAATGAGTCATAAGAAACTAACTGAAGACATTGGAAAAGGTGGCTGATATAATCTGCATTGGGTAGGTGCCCGATAAGATTTTGTTGCTGCATCACAAGGTAAAAGGTATGGGGCATAGCAAAAAGGGGAAAAGCTTTACAGACCACTAACCTCACACATAAAACAGTGTCAGGTATAATGTGAAAGTTAGCTCCACTTTGATTGACCTTGGCTGTTGTCTTGTGCAAAGATAGAAATATGGGAGCTGCCATTCCCAACTAGACTTTGATTCCTGTCCTGTATGATAGTTCAAGATAAGTAACTAACATAGCTAATGAATCTTAGATAAAGATGATGACCCCAGCTATTGTATTGGCATTGGAAATGGTAGCTTCCAGGGAGAATGTAGCTTAGAGTACATATCCATGTCTTGATTCTGTTGCTCAGTAGGAAAAAGGTTACTGGGGGATAGTGAGTCTGGCTTCTTTTTTCTGGGCAAACATACTTATTTCAGTAGAAAACTATTAATTTACATATGATATTCTACAGACTATAACAGTAAAGCTTCTGACAAAGTGGCAGAAAATAACTGTTTTTTACTTTTAGTAGAGCCAAAGGTCACATTTTTTAGTGGTTTCTACATGTGTTAACTAATACAGTATGTTTTCTGTGGGTGCCCTCTTTTGTGGTACAGATGGAAAGTCACGGAGTGTTATTGTGTAAATTTGTGCCTGTCATTTTTTAAGGTCATGACAGCATGACTTACTTCAGCTAACCCAGTTCAGGTAGAATGGGTCAAATTATGTTAAACACATGTTTCTATTTAATTAGTATGGGAATATCCAGGCTCAGTTTGCTTCATTAGGTTAACTTCATTTTTTCCCCAGGGCTCTGAGCCAGGATTGATTTTTGGCAAAGTACTGAATATTGCCTTCTTGTGTAACTTAGGCTGATCACCTATGTGAAGCAGTTATCCTTGGATGCTGCCATGGGCATTGTTCACTTAACACAGGCAAGGAGAGCAGTGGACAAGCACGTTAAGTTCTGATTAGGCTGTATGTTGTAAAATATATAAGCTTTTACTCAATTTCACACAAAAATGTACCACTTCTAAATTGGGAATAGCCATCCACAGATATTGTAAGTTTACATTTTCTCTTAATGATAGGTTTGGAACATTGTGAATTTAATACACACATTTAGTAAGAATTCAATAAAAAATTCCAGGAACACATTTTTTTAATATAGCTAGTATAAATAATCCAATTCTACATTACTGTAATCCCTTTATGCAGTCACCTTTACAATATAGTTACCAACAGCTATGTATTTTGAAGACCTGCCTAAGCAATTCATTCAGTGTACCTTAATCTATGGAACATGGTGGATGTTTCTAACACATCCAGGTTGTAATATATGTGAGCAATTGTAGTCAATCTGGGCTTTATTGCCTTTAGCAGTACTGTTAACTTAACACTGTTAACATACTTGCAGGAACAGAGCTCCTTGCCCAACCACAAACGGGTAGGAAGAGTGAATAAGGTAGCAGACGTTTTATGGGCTATTTTTTTTTTATAGTAACAGATGAGTACTATTTGCCATGATTTCAATTAGAAATGGGGTTAAAGTGATACTAAACCTTAAACACATAGCACTGTAAAAATCAGCACTTACCTTGTATATTCTCTATAGATAAGTTTTCCCTCTGAGGCAGACATTTTAGGTGGCACTTGAAGCCACCTCTGCATGTGTGCTCCCAGATGGCTCTGTGGACAAGTTTCTTTATGTCCAAAGATGCTCAGATTGCCCCAGTGGCAAGCCATAACCCTGTTCCTCCTTCCAGCTGCTTATTGACAGCAGTTGGAACCCACACTGTTCTTGCTGTACTGTGCCTATGAAGGACACAAGGAGTGTGCTCTATTACCCTGAGGTTTCAGAGGAGCAGTGCTCAGGACCTGGGGCCAGTGGCAGTTTTCAGGGAGTGTAAGTAAACTTCTGGGCACAAATGTTATGGAAAAATATACTGGGTAATGTTGCATTGCTTGACATTAAAAAGCAGAGGGATTAATGCTTCTTTCAACTGTGAAGATGGAAAAAACTTGCGGGTCAACTGGGGTTTGAGATTATAATTTTCACATGGAATTCTCCTTTAATCAACTATGGAGAAAGCAAACAGCACTATCCCCAGGATTCAAATGTTTAATGTGTCTTAAAGGAAACCTGTGTTAGGCGACCTATGTGGTGAAAAATATGGAGGTCATCATTGCTTTTGTCTGAGGACAAAGCTGCTGATCTTTAGGTCTCATTCACACAGCTGTAAAAAATGCATTTTCAAGCGTTTTTTTTTTTATTTACGGATCTGAACACAGCTGCACTGTTTGGCATGGAGACATTCAACTAGGTGTGGAAACATTCACTGCATTCAGATAACACAAACTCCAACAATCTGCATCTGAGGATGTGTATGTATTCTGGTATTAAAAAAAAAAAAAATAGGACAATTTTATGTATTTATAAAACAGTGGATGTAAAAGAAAGTATAATTTATGCAGGAAGGGCATCAGTAAAATGTTTACATCTGTGTGTATGTAGCCTTATACCTGATCCAGGTCAATGACTTAGCGTGTATTGAAATCATCAAAATAGCAAAACAGACAGATGAATAATGTTTTTTTGAGGAGGTCAGGGAGTGTAGACACTCTTTCTTTTCTTAGCACAGTCTCCTTTAAGCAGCCATTGTGACTTTCTGTGAATGCCAATACGATAATGCAAGGAGGCTAGGAGGAGCCAAGCAATTAAAAAAAACTTTGGCTGCAGTTCATTATTTAGAAAATGTGAAATTTGGTAACAAACTTCAGATGTGCAGGGAAATGTGTTCTTGTTGCGAATACCAACCATTTATTGAAAACTGGTATACAAGCATGTATTAGGGCTACCTGAACAGTACTTCTTGTTGAGGGCAAAGATGAGGATGCACAGACAGTTTATCTTTCCTGAATTTATCATCTGAGTATCACAGATGCTGTGCCTGCTGCTGACTGACAAACTGACACAGCCATCAACCCTTTTAGATCAAGTCATTACCATAACACTATATCAAAGACTGTAACGAAGCTCAAATTATGGAAATTATCGTTACCAGGCAAATCAAATCAGCTTATATGCTTAAAAAAGGAGCAGGACCAAATGTTTCGTTTGGTTAGGATGTGATTTGTTTTACTTGCCTTATATTGATTCTCCTTTATCATAAAACACAATCTGGCAAGGAGTCCTGTTCCTTTCTTATAAATGTATTCTCCGACCAAATTAATTAAATAAATATTGATATTGCACAAACCCTTTGCCATCTCTATACAATGAAAATAGACAGACTGTTTTTTTCTTGGTTAATACTCTGTCTGTTTTCTTTTTTTTCTGAGTAAAACTTGTGTTGTTCCTCTGGTAATTAAATACCTCTGGATAAGTGGTTGTTAGGTGGATAGGTTAGAGTATTCAGTGAAAGTTAGCAGTATTTAAAGGAAACTTTTGTATGTGTTTAGAGAGTTTGTAATTTAAAATAGTTTTGTAACATTTACTATTTACAGTGTTTTTTTTTCTTCATTTTGGACAGCATGAAGAGGGATTCTAACCCCCACTAGGCTTTTATTGCTGTCCTTATCTCCGTTAGGAAGATTCATCTTCTGTATTTTTCCTGGCACCCCTTGTCCCTGTGACTGAAAGGGATATCCAAATGATTTTGTTGTCAGAAAAAACACGAATAGAGGGGAAATGTTCCAATGAACACACTTGTTCTGATGATCACTGTAAACAAGTGGGGTTCCTTCACTTTGAAGGGATTTCTTTACAATTTCTGTTGTGTCTACAAGGGCAGAAGTGAAGGGAAATCTCCCACAAAGAGGAAAAAAAAAATCTGACAAGATTTAACAATTCCCTACTATGTTAAAAAAAACTGACTTTAGCTACAGTTTCTTTATTTATGTTACTTATGATGCAACTGTCACATTTTACTTAGTATAGATATTACTATTTTTACATGTTTTCTTTTTTAAAGATTCCCTTTTCTATTTCCTGTATATCAGGACACTCAGGACACTTGATTAGCACACCTGCTTAAAGGAAACTCAATGGTTTAGAATACTGATTACCTGGCTGTTGTTAATTTAGTATACATATTTCTGTTTCATGGACCTAAAACAATTTTACATGTAGCCTCCCATAAGCTTTGCAGGTATGCAGTGTCCCTTTGCAGCCAAAACTCATTAGGAGTTAACGATGACTTATTTCCCAGTGTGATGTAAAGGATCACAAATATGTGGGTTTTGTTATCTTTCAAGACTCTAGAGAAAATACTTAACCAGTGAAATATGTTTTCTTTCTGGGAATAATGCTTTTATTTCAAGCAGTGCTAAATCAGAGAATGGTGTAATTCCTGAAAGCTAAACAAGACTTTGAGCAGCCTGATATGGGAAAGTTGGACTGTTAGTTCTCAAGGGACGTCTGGTATTTAGGCTTCATCTAAGTTTCTAGTAGTACAGCAGGGAAAGTAATCAAAAAAATATTTCAGATATAAGTACAGCATTCGTAGAGATTGTTTTCTTGAATTCAGGTGCTTCTTTCCTTCATAATCCTGAAAAAACGTGAAAAAATAATTTAACAGTAATGTTCTTCTTTTTTCTTTTGTTTGACCAGTCATCTCAACTAGGACTTCACCCTCCCCTCTGCCATTTGCAACGCAAGCTATACTTCCTCCGGCCCCAAGTTCCTACTTTTCTCATCCAACAATCCGATATCCTCCACACCTGAATCCTCAGGATGCCCTGAAGAACTATGTTCCTTCTTATGACCCGTCCAGTCCACAAACAAGCCAGGTAATGAAAATGGCAGTTATAAATATCAATCATCAACCCCAATGAATGCATAAAATTAGATGTACAAGTAGTGTTTCAGTAGAAAGACTTTACACAAATAACTAATAGAAAATAAATGTAAGGTTTATCAATTGGAATGTGTCATTTGTCTGATTGTCTACAGCCAAGGAATGAGCCATGGACTTAACATTAACAGACAGTGTTCACATGTTTCCATATGATAAAATAAAGATCACGAGACTTTATGTTAACCAAAAGGTATGAAGGTGTAATACATTACATTAGAAAAGGAAATACTTTGTTATGTCAGTATATACTTAATTTAAATATTAATTAATAGATATTTCACCTTTTTGTTTAGATGTAGTTTTAAAGCAGATCTTTCAGTGACTTCACAAGTCTTCATGCATAAGTAGCTGACATATCATATACAACAGTATAATTTTCCAAAAAAGCTGTAGTTTTTGCTATCACAAAGCAACAATTGAAGTGATTTTGCATAGACTGATAAGATGCCATCAGTCATAATTCAGTTCTGCAATAGGGAATATTTAGTATGTTTCAGACGTTAGTGAACAGACCCTGGAACTGCACAGGTGTTACATATCTGAGTCAGCATCTCACTTCTGGAGATAGATGATAACTATAGATGAGCTTGGGTTCAATCTGAACCCGGAAGTTAGGTGTCTTTGCTGGGTCACAGAGCTGTAGGCAGGAGATTCTCCACCCTACACCTACACATATTCAAAGGGGCAGGGATGCTTGCGACATCACTCTCCTAATATGGTCACATGGCTATATCAGGACAGTAACATTGGCCTAATATGCCTACATTATGTCGTGAGCATCTCTGAACCTTCACGTACGTTAGCTGCAGAGTAGGGAATCTCCAACCCACAGCTTATTGGCCCAGTAATGACAGCTAACTTCTAGATTTGAGGGAACTTGGGTTTGGATTGAATCCAAGTATAAACCCAAGCTCATAACTAAAGCTAACCCTGGATAATATTAAACAAAATGGTTCTTTTCTTCAGGAGAGAACAACAGATACATGCATTTTCAGGGGGAAATACTGTGGCCTCTGTATAAGGTAATAACTACTTGTAAGTGCTAAGCTTACACATTGCTTAGCTTGCATGTACTTAACATTTAAAATATATCTAATACTAGGTCCACATTAACAGTAAAGGCAAAGTAAAATATCAGTCAAAAGCACCTACATTGGAATTATCTTGATTATTGTAGTATTATCTGGATATTGGTTTTAGCTGTGGTATACATTTTGACATGTGACATTTACTTGCATTAAATGCCATTTAATCCCTAAGCAGAGATACTTTCAAACAGTCAAGATTTTGTCAGGACTGTCCTGGATGTTGTAATGCAAAGAGGATGCATTTAAAATTATTTTGGTTTCTGAACAGTTTCCGTTTGTTAGGGTGAGAGATAATCTTTGTTAGGTGGTATGCTTAAAGTGAATCTGTAAGACATTGTACATGCTTACGTCCATGGAACGGCGCCATTCTGCGGTACCCAAAAATCTCCATAGACACCTCACCATGTATGGAGGGCTAATATTATCTACAAATGCATTAGGAAGATTCCCCCCTATTTCCTGTCCTTTTGACAGTTGTTACCTATTCAGAAAATGAAAGAGAATTAAAAAAATGTTAAAGTTGTCCCTAGAACAGGAGGTAAAGGTAAATTTCACTCTATAGAGCCACCTGTTATCATGAATAGCATAGAATTTGAATTTCCCCTTCGCTTTCTCTCACAATGTCAATTGTCCTTCATTTTGATACATTTCCTTTCACTTCCTGTCAAGTCTCTGAGCAGAGGTGTTGACCCTTCTCTACTGTATCCAGAACTAGGAAAAATGATTTGTCGGGAGTTAATTTTAAAACTGATGTGTTCACACATTGTCCATCAAGTCAGTTATAGTGTAAGGTATAGCTGACTGTTGAAACAATAAACTTTTAGTATGTGATGAAAATAAAAAAATGTTTATTTGTATAAACACTTTTGTATTAAGATTTGTCTCCTCCCCGACCATAGATATTATTTTTCAAAATGTAATGTTAATACTAGCCTTCCTTGTTAAAATTCAATTATAATATTCCATATGGTAAGAAATACATGCATTTCCCTTGCACACGATTTAAATATACAAAGAGAACACAGGTCCACCTTATTTACTAACTTTCACTTTGTGAAATGAACATGTACTTTTCAAATGAATGTTTACTTTGCTAAGTGAACACCAAATTAAGTCCCGTGTCTCAGTTCTAGAAAAAAATGCTTTACAAATATGGTAATATCCCTTGAGACTTTTTTGTTAAAGTTTTGGCTATTCAAAACCATGCAATTGCTTATGGGCTAAATTTTCAGTTTTTATGTACTTATTTTTAGGTAATATATTGTGTTCCTTGGTTATATTTACAGTCTGAGACTGCTTTCTTAAAGGAGAGTTCTGTCTAAAAAAGCATGAAATCATCATGACTATTCTCACATTTTTTCTTTCTTTTGAGAGTTATGGAAGTACAAAGGTAAATAAAAAATGCCTTCACAATGGTTTCACAATGCACCAGTCAGTCATTTTAAACAAGTCCTACAAGAGGTACCACAAGAAATCCACTATTAAAAATACTCTTCTTTACCCTTATTGATCTAGTTTTTAATGTGTTATTAAGCTTTCAACCTGTTTTGTACATAGCGCACCCCCACAGTTAAAGGAGAAGTTTGGCTATGCTTCTCCTTGGGATCACAGGAGTGCAGTTCGTTCTGGACTCCTGTGACCCGTTTTCAGCTGACACCAGGCTGAATTCTGTTGGCTGATGTCACAGAGCTGGTCCAGGCTCTGAAAAGATTCCGACCATATGGACGGGATCCACCCAGAAGCCTGGATCGGTTCCTGGCTCAGCCTCTCAGTGATCTATCAAGAGCCCAAAGCAGCCGCTCCCGCCCCTGCCCCCTCCACAGCCCTGTTCTCCAGTGATTGCTGGAGGGGCAGAGCAGAGAGTTACTGACTGACAGTCACTAGCTCTCTGCTCACAGAACACTGAGAACTGAGCAATCAGTGGTCTTTGATCACTATGTTCTCAGTCTTAGAGCCAGCGGGGGGCACGGATGCAGCATCGGATGATGCTGCATATACCTAGGTGAGTATATATATATATATATATATATATTTTTTTTTTTTTTTTTTTTTTGTTAACCCATACTTCTCTTCTAATCCTAATTCACTTATTGGACAGCAGGGCTAAGATGGGGCTTAGCTCTGTAGCGGGGAAAAATGGAGTCTTAAAGCTTAAAATCTCAAGTTTTAAACAGCAAAAATACGACTTCACTATATATAACTGTTTTATGGGCTTCTGATGGTTTGGTAAGAACTCATAAGTCACTTCTATTATTTCTTTATTTGAAATCACAGTTTTTCTTATAGTGTTTTAGGAATAAGACTGACAGTTAGGGGTCACTTATTACTACGCAAAGCACTTCTTGGTTTTCAGGCATGCGTTTTGTAATAAATGGCTAAACATTTGGTAGCTCAACAAATCCTTACCATATCACCACTTCAAACTGAGTTCAGATGGACAGATTAAGATACATATTTGATGAAGCCCTTGTTTCTTTAAGTGGCTAAGAAAGCTGAAAGCCCCTTAGGTGCTCATTAGTTATTACACACATAACGTGTTCATAATTTTTGAAAAATGGAAAACTAATTTTATATTTTGGCAGGTGTATGTTATGGGAGTGATTTTGCATGTTTCACTATTGCAGAAGTGCCTGTGTTCCATTTGAACTCACAATTATTTTTGAAGAAATTTAAACACAATACACTGCTCAAAAAAATAAAGGAACACTTTGAAAACACTTAAGATCTCAACGGGGAAAAATATCATGCTGGATACTGTATCTATACTGTCTATACTATATATATATCTATACTGATATGGACTGGGTAATGTGTTAGGAATGTAAGTATGCCCCACGTTTGATAAAAATGAAAATGATCAACCTACAGAGGACTGAATTCAAAGACACCTCGAAAATCATAGTGAAAAAATGATGCAGCAGGCTAGTCCATTTTTCTAAAATTTCATTGCTGCAACTCAAAATGGTACTCAGTAGTTTGTATGGCCTCCATGTTCTTGTATGCATGCCTGACAACATCGAGGCATGCTCCTAATGAGGCATCACTGAGCTCCTGGAGAGTCTGAGGTGCCTCTTGGCGGCATCGCATGGACTGAAACATGAAATCCCAGAGGTGTTCTATTGGATTTAGGTCATGCGAGCATGGGGGCCATTCAATGGTATCAATTCCTTCATCCTCCAGGAACTGCCTGCATACTCTAGCCACATGAGACGGGGCATTGTTTGTGCACCAGGAGGAACCCAGGACCCACTGCATCAGCGCAGGGTCTGACCATGGGTCCAAGGATTTCATCCCGATACCTAATAGCAGTCAGGGTGCCATTGTCTAGGCTGTAGAGGTCTGTGTGTCCCTCCATGGATATGTCTCCCCAAACCATCACTGACCCACCACCAAAACGGTCATGCTGAATGATGTTACATGCAGCATAACGTTATCCACGGCTTCTCCAGACCCTTTCACATCTGTTAGATGTGCTCAGGCTGAACCTGCTCTCATCTGTAAAAAGCACAGGGCACCAGTGGTTGACCTGCCAATTCTGGTGTTCAATGGCAAATGCCAGTCGAGCTCTATGGTGCCGGGCAATGAGCACAGGGTCCACTAGAGGACATCGGGCCCTCAGGCTACCCTCATGAAGTCTGTTTCTGATTGTTTGGTCAGAGACATTCTCACCAGTGGCCTGCTGGAGGTCATTTTGTAGGGCTTTGACACTGCCCTGTCCAGCTCTCCTAGAGTAGCTGCTCGTCTCCTGGAATCTCCTCCATGCTCTTGATACTATGCTGGGAGACACAGCAAACCTTATGGCAATATGCCATCCTGGAGGAGTTGGACTGCCTGTGCAACCTCT